GAGAAGAAGTATTATAGGCTAATAACACAATCGTTGGATTTGAAAGAAGGAGGAACATTTAGGGTATTAGAACTGCAAGGGCGCTAAAAGGCCTACGAATCCTCCTCAATGCCCTCCCCACCTCTACTGTACCATAGAAAACAATAGAAAGTGATTCTTAACCTTCCTCACAAAAAACGAGCCTGTCCTCTGTGTGCTGCCAATGTCTGAACGTGTTTTTTTCTTCCTGCAAGAGGAGAAACAGAATTAGGTCCACCTCCAGGTCATGGTTTTGGAACCAGTTCACAGGATGGATGCTGTGATGCCACTGGGAACATGCTGCTGTCCCTGTGAGATGGACCCAGTCCTACCAGAAGTGCGGATTGCTTCTTCAAAACTATAGTGGTTCCTGCAGAATTGGCAACACCCAATATAGACCAATAAGGGATGTGGTGGCTCAGTGGCTAAGAAGCTGAGCTTGTTGATCAAAAGGTCAGCAGTTCAGCAGTTCGAATCCCTAGTGCCACATAACGGGGGTGAGCTCCCGTGACTTGTCCCAGTTTCTGCCAACCTAGCAGTTCGAAAGCACGTAAAAAACGCAAGTAGAAAAATAGGGACCACCTTTGGTGGGAAGGTAACAGCATTCCGTGCACCTCTGGCATTGAGTCATGCCGGCCACATGACCACGGAGATGTCTTTGGACAGTGCTGGCTCTTTGGCTTTGAAATGGAGGTGAACACCACCCCCTAGAGTCAGGAACGACTAGCACATATGTTGATAGCAGGGCTATCAACATAATAATTTTAAATTGGGGTATTTAAAATTTTTGGGGTTTTAAATTGGCCAAATCTATTTAATTATTTTAATTTTTAATTATTGTTGTGTCCTGTGTTTTTAAATTGGCTGTACACTGCCCTGAGTCCTTCGGGAGAAGGACGGTATAGAAATAAAATTATTATTATTATTATCATTATTATTATTATCATCATCATTATTATTATTATTATTATTATTATTATTATTATTATTATTATTATTATGTGCAAAGGGAACTTTTACCTTTACCTTTAATATAGACCATTGTACCCCAATGTCATGCTGAACACCACTAGTAAGTTGCCCTTCTAAGATTCACGTTGAATAGGATATTTGGTTTGCTGAGTCTTATTTCAGCCTTTGATTCAATTTGATTTTAATCTCTCTGGCCTAAATTAGACTGCAATAAAGGTTTGATTTGATTTTGATGGTACCTCGCTTCTTCTCTCATGGCTTTCTTTTGAAGTGTCCCCCATCAGCCAATGGAGCAAAGAATCTTGAAAATATTACTAAGCGAAAGTCTGCCTTAGAAAAAGTGACTTTCCCCACTATCCTTCATAACTGCAGGGCACCCTACTCTAGCAGTAGTCCGTCATGACTATTGTTGATCATTGCCTGCAGGCCATTGACTCTCACTTACCATTTCTTCAAGCCATAAATCAGCAACCCCAGTAAGATAATAATGGCAAGAACCATGCCAAGGCTAATCAAAGTTCGTTTCATCAGTGTAGCTTTGCTATCTGCACAGTAGAAATGAAAAATAACAAAGTTTAGCAGGATCTCGATTTGATTTTGTGTCAGCTTGAGTCCATGACCTTATTTGCTCATCAAACCTATGCCAATCAATGCCCCATCATATTCCTATTCAGGGGTGAAATGTTACCAGTTCACACCAGTTCGGGTGAACGGGTAGTAATAAAAACTAGTGGTTTGGGCAAACCGGTAGTAAAAAAAAAGCTACCGGTTCAGGCAAACCAGTAGTAACAAAAAGCTACCAGTTCAAGTGAACCGGTAGTTTAAAAAGCTACCGGTTCGGGCAAACCAGTATTTCTGACTATCAGCTGTGCCACATGATTTATCTTAGCTAGAAAGCAGAAAATCCTGCTTTCTAGCGAATCTAAACCACACGGCACAGCTGTTCCCCCCCTCATTGTTCTACTTACCTTCCCAAGCTTCCTTTTTCCACGCATAGCGTGCATTTGGAGCACTCTGCGCATGTGTGTGCAGCATGCGTTTGGTGTGCATTGCGCATATGTGCACGCAATGCACATTTGGCGCACACCAGTGGTGGGTTCCTCCCGGTTCGGTCCGGTTCGGCCAAGCCGGTAGCGGTGACGATATGACGTCACCAAACCGGTTCTCCGCCCCACCCTCCCAATGTTATTCTTACTTTTTATTTGGTCCCACCCCCAATCTATTGCTGCCTCTTGAGTCCCAGCTGATGACTAGAGGGAAAAAAGCTGTTTAAACTCTTGCCGCGGGGCTTCAAAGGGCCGTCCTACAGCTGATCAGTGTTAAAAGCAAACAAATGAGTCGGGTCATAAGTGCGAGGACTGGTCGTAAGTGCGAGGACCTTCCAGAAATGACTCTGACCAGCTAGCCACGCCCACCTAGTCACATGACCTCCAAGCCACACCCACAAAATAAGCCACGCCCACAGAACCGGTAGTAAAAAAATTTAGAACCCACTCCTGGCGCACACTGTGCATGTGCGGGCAGCAAACCAGTGGCAAACAGCGGAGGATTTCACCACTGCTTCTATTCACATAGTTTGCATGCTCAGAGGAACCCAAAAGCGGTAAACGATAGAACACCATTCAGGTACTGCCGTTATTTGCTTTGATTCTGCACATAACTTTGCAGAGACTCAATTCTCAGTAAGGATAATAGTAAAAAAAAAAAAAGGCTTAAAGCTTAATCTTATTCGCTCAATTCAACTAGACATAAATTTAATGGTATTTAATGTGCAATGTTCTCTGAACTCCTCTTGGCTTAAACATTCACGCCTACATGTGAATGCACAAACACACATGAAAAAAAATGTGTATAATTGGGACAAATGTATATACTGGGGGAAAGCTGCACAGGAAAAGTTGGATATATTTGGGAAAGTTGTGTACAGAAATGTATGGTAGTAATAGCTCATACAATGGAAGCTGGTTTACTGAAAATCCATATATTAGGGAACGTTAGGATAAATATGAGAGAGAGTGTGTGAAGGAGAGAAATACAATTTGCAAAATATATGAATTAAATTGCATCGCGGCATCTGGTTTTTCATTCGGTTTTGTTTTTTACGTTTTCATTTTTGCTTTGTTTGTTAAGAAATCATCTATAGCTTTCTTCTGAGCTTTGAGCCATGGTGGCGCAATGGTTAGAATGCACTATTGCAGGCTAATTCTGCTGACTGCTGGCTGCCAGCTGCCAGCAGTTTGGTAGTTCAAGTCTCACCAGGCTCAAGATTGACTCAGCCTTCCATCCTTCTGAGGTCAGTAAAATGAGGACCCAGATTGTTGGGGGCATTGAAATTGACTGTGTAAACTGCTTAGAGTGGACTGTAAAGCAGTATATAAGTCTAAGTGGTATTGCTATTTATCTCCTCAATCCAGGTATAAAAACATAAATCCCACTCTGACAACAGACTAAATGTCACAGAGAATTCTTCAGTCATGAGTTGCTCATTCAAAAAATTGTACTTTAGGATCAGCCAGCCTGATTTCTATTCTCATGAATCTCCAAGCCAACATGAACATTTAGAGTTGCTCTCCAAAATATTTGCAGAACATGAAATTGCTTGTTTCGGTTTGACTAGTTATCTTTTCCATTGCCAAGAATTTCTTAATCAAGAATGTTCACCTAGGAACTGTAACGGGGTGAAATGCTACCGGTTCGGGCCGGTTCGCCTGAACCAGTAGTAATAATTGCTACCGTTTGCCTAAACCAGTAGTAAAAAAAATGCTTTAAAAAGTAAAAAAATAGTTCCGACAATTAGCTGTGTGACAATCAGCTGTGCCGGGCAATGTCGGAACTTTTTTTTTTTTTACTTTTTTTAACCATTTTTCTTATTACCAATCATCTGTGAGACAATCACAATGTGCCTGATTGTCTGTGAAGTTCCTGCTTGTTGCAAGGGCCATTTTGTGTAAAGTCCAGCTGCTTTTGCATTGTGTGTGAGTCAGTTGTGTAGCTTTTGTGTTATTTTTGTGTAAAGTGTGATAGTTTGTTTTTGAGCTCTCTGTGACTCTGTGAGGTTCCTGCTTGTTGCAGGGGCCATTTGGTGTGAAGTCCAGCTGCTTTTACATTGTGTGTGAATCAGTTGTGCAGTCATGCCCACCCGGTCACATGCCCACCAAGCCACACCCACCAAACCAAACCATGACCACAGAACAGGTAGGAAAAAATTTTGAATTTCACCACTGAACTATAACAATATTTTTCAAGGGAAATACTCACAGGATACACTAATGGTGATGAGCTGTGATTCCTTATTAGAGATAGAATTAAATGCTTCGCAATGATATTCTCCTGACTGCTCCACCTTAATTTTCCTGAGTACTAAGATTTTGGAACTCTCCATAAAGATTTCTTCTCCTTTCCAGTACCACTTGTAAGTAGCCACTGATGGGTAAGCATCATTATCACATCTCAAATTGACATCCATGCCTTCAATAACAGCTTTCTTGTCTAGAGTTAGATGAACGTTACGAGGTCCGTCTGTCAGAAAAAGGAAGTGTCACTCAATTTAATCCAGCATTTGTATATTTGATTGTCAGCATCTGCTGCAAGACAAACGAATTTAGAAGGACTCAAGAAAAGACATAGATGGAAAAATATGCTTCTATATCAGGGGTGAAATGCTCTGCTACTGGTTCGCTTTGTTACCAGTTCGCTTCGCGTGTGCATGCACAGCACGCACCAAATGCACTACAGCACAGCGCTGAAAAAGGAGGATTAAGAAGCCTTTTCTCAGTCTGCAAAGGTAAGTAGAACAGCGAGGGGGGTGACAGCTGTGCCGCGTGATTTAGATTCACTAGAAAGCAGGATTTCCTGCCTTCTAGCGAATATAAATCACGCGGCACAGCTGATCATCAGAAATACTGGTTTGCCCGAACCAGTAGCATTTTTTTTACTACTGGTTCAAGTGAACCGGTCTGAACCAGTAGCATTTCACCCCTGAATCTATATTCATTAGTTCTCAACCTTGGTAATTTCCTGATATTTCCACTTCTAGAATTATTAGCAATGGTCATGTTGGTGGTGGAATTCTGGGAGTTGAAGTCCACACATCTGAAAGTTATCAAGATTGCAGAACATTGCTTTCTCAAGTCCATAGTCTTTGCTCATACAGCAATCACCTAAAGGCATCTGAGGGCCTTAATCACCTTTCACTGTTGTTTAGAACTGCAATCTATGACTGGCAAGGGAGTCATCGGACAACAAATATAATAGATTCTCCAGTCCTCCCTTGAATATGTCTTCTCCATTTTTAAAATCACTTCTGGGGTCAAGATTGCATCTGACAGCAGTACATTCCACTAGATTCTACTCAAATCATACCCAATATGGCAGACTACCCCATGTTCCATGAAGTGCAGCTTTCATTTTTCAAAGGAGAAAGAAGAGTTCTATGACCACTATGGTAGGTTTTCCATTTTGTTGTTGTTGTCAACTCCTGCCAAATGCCTGGACAAGTCCTGCAGTTTTTTTGAACAAAATTTCAAAAGTAGTTTCCCTTTGACTCTTTCCTAGGTCTGAAAAATAGGGATTGGCCCAAGGTCACTGTGCCTAAAGCAGTAAGCAAGAATCGAACTTGAGTCCACAATGACTTTACCTAGGAGAGAAAGCCCATTGAGCACAGCAAGGACATCATGACTATACACTGAATCTGTACTCACAATTCACTTTCAGCCTAATAATTGGAGACTCTGCATTTGTTATGATGTTTTTTGATACACAATGGTAGATGCCAGAATCCATTGACTGGACATTCTGGATGAATAGAACCTTTTCTGTAGAGTTCAGTGGCAGAAGTTGCCCATCTTTATACCAGGTGTAGCTGAGTTCCTTGGGGTTGGCCATGCTCACACTACAAGTCAGATGAACAGAATTGCCTTCGAGGACCAACCCTGAAGGTTCTTGACTGAGCCTGACATCTTTGGGGCCATCTGTAGGACAAAAGGAAAAATGCAAGCACAGAGAATGATATCCTGTTGCTCTTGAATATCTTATTGTGATATTGATAGATATCACAGAGAGTGATATCTTATTGCTCTTGAACATCTGCCCAGAGTGACCAGCATCGGAGGCATACATTAGCTACACTGAACAACTCAACTAATAGCATCCGCTTTCCTTTTTTAACCCAAAGCTATACTCTTTAATTAAATCATTCTCAACTTTTGACGTATCCCCCGAACCACTCTAAAGCATTTTATTTTTACTCATTTGTTTGCTTGTACAAACCTTAAATGGCAATGCCCCAAAATGATTTGATTATGCCCAGAGCTTTGTCAATATGAGGTTCTGGTTCAACAAAGGAGAAAGAAAGGCGAGAGGAGTAGAGGGTAAGAAGAGGAGTGGGAGAGAGAGGAATGGAAGAAAGGGGAAAGGAAAGGAGGAAAGAGCAGGGGACAGGAGTAGGAGAGAAGGTGAAAAAGGGAAAGAGGAGCAGAGTGGGGGAAGAGGAAGTAGGAAAGAGGAAGGAGAGGAGGAGGGAGAAAGTAGAGAGGAGAGGAGGGAGGGAAGGGAAAGAAAGAAGAAGGAGACGACGGTTTGTTGTGAAATGAGGGAAAAGAAAGGGTAGAAGAGCAATCCCAAATGTAATTAAAATGCCTTATTCTTATGCTTTCTTTAAGAAAAATATGTATATGTATGACGAATTATGTATAAGACAATGTACATTTACATTATGTGTATAAGAAATAAAAATAATTCTTAAAAAAATATGAGGTTGTGGTTGAAATATTGAACTTGGACTAGGAGAGGCAGGTTCAAGTACATCTTCAGCTACAGATGCTAACTGAGTGACTTTGGGCAATCATTCTCCCAGGGTTTTTACTGTGGAGAAAAATAGAGGTGAGAGTGCCCCTGGGGCTCCTTAATGTAAGGCAGTTTTATAATTCTATCAAAGAATAAAATGGAACGGAGCGGAGTGGAACGGAACAGAACAGAACAGAACAGAACAGAACAGAACAGAACAGAACAGAACAGAACAGAACAGAACAGAACAGAATAGAATTCTTTATTGGCCAAGTGTGATTGCACACACAAGAAAATTGTCTCCAGTGCATAAGCTATCAGTGTACATAAAAGCAATAAGTGATAAATCATGATCAAAGTTATTATAAAAAATACATTCATCATAAATAATAAGATACAATACTTGGTGTTAGTCATAGGATACTAAATAAGCAATCAACATAAACCATACTAGGATACTAAATAAAGCAATATACTTGAAAGATACAAGCAACAAAGTTATGTATAGTCATAAGAACATAAGGAAATAGGTAATAGGAAAGATGAGAAGAATAACGAATCAATAAAATAAAGCTAGGATGGGTGCCCATAGCAGGGTCTTCTGCTATATCTCCATCAGAACACCTCCCAAAGTTACAGTTGAAATTCTAATTCTAACACACCAAAAAGGAGAAATGCTTTGAGCATATGAATATATCCATTTTAACGTTTACATTTAAATTCAGTCCAAAGTTAATTAATTAATCTTTTTTTTTTAGAGTTGGTGTGCTACCCCAAAATGTGGTGTATAGTTCTGAACCCAAACAAAATTGTGCTCCTTCAGTCTAAATGGAAAGATTTATAACTTGAGTTTCCTAAAATAATTTATTCCACCTTCAATTTCTTATATTTGCTCTATCCAAGACTGGAATGGCCAATGCTTTTGTGGGTCCCTCCTGGGAACAATTTAGCTGCTTTAAAGGTTTCCAGCTCATCATATAATTATTCTTACTTACAGAGGACATCAAAAGTGATGCTTGGGGAGGAAGTGCAGCCAACACTATTACATGCTTCGCATCTGTAAGAAGTGTGTAGTGCAGGTAATGCGATGAACACCAGTGACGAGCGAGGAGTTCTGCGCGTGTCGCCACTTGACCCAACAAATATGTAATAGTTGATGCTGGGGTAACTACTGCCCACAGAGCAGTTCAAAATGACTTGGTCTCCTTCCTTTATGGGTAAATGATTTAAATGAAAAAGTTGGACATCCTTGGGGCGATCTGCAAAACAAAATCGATAGGGTGTTGTTGTTTTTAATGCAGTAGATAGACTATAGCCATGATGGCGAACCTATGGCAGCCGTGCCACCTGTGGCACGCGGAGCCCTCTCTGCGGGCACGCGAGCTGTCGCCCAGCTCACCTTCTCCATGCGTGCGCAAATATCTCCTACCAGCCAGCTGATTTTGGGTCATTGGTGCAGGGGCGGGGCACATGTGGGAGACATGCGTGCATATGCGGGGGGTGCACATGCATGCATGGGGGGTCGCACACGAATGTGCAGGGGAGGAGCAGTGCAGGGGGAGCAGCGTGTCCCCCTGCACCAAAATGGACCGCAGGGGGTGCGGCATACCCCCTCTTCGTAGTCCATTTTTGGTCCCAGGAGGCTTCAGGGAGGCCTATTAGGCCCAAAATGGGCTGTGGGGGGGTCATGTGTGCATACGCAGGGGAACAGGGAAAGCACGGGGGTCACGTGCGCATATGTGGTGGCAGGGGAGCATGGGCAGTCACGTGTGCATGTGCGGGGGACAGGGGGAACATGGGGGGGGTCATGCGCACATGGGCAAAGGGTGGGCATGTGGGGGGCATTTTATTATGGGTGTGGGCACGTGCATGCGCAACCCCTCCATGCTCCCCTCACTTTTGGCATGCGACAGCAAAAAGGTTAGCCATCCCTGGACTATAGAGTTCTCCGGTTTTTGAAAAAGGTTCTTTGCGGTGTTGATTTCAGAATTCTCTGAGGCAGCGGTCTCCAACTTTGGCAACTTTAAGACTTGTGGACTTCAACTCCCAGAGTTCCTCACCAGCTTGAGGAACTCTGGGAGTTGAAGTCCATACGTCTTAAAAAGTTGCCGAGGTTGGAGACCCCTGCTCTGAAGCATCTCTGCAAAGTTGTACCCCACTTTGAATTAGCAGAGGCACTGGTTCCCGAGACAGGTTGGTAACAGAAGTCCAGCAACCCTTATTTACTTCTTTGCCGAGATGGTGCAATGTGCAATGTGCTGCAGCCTGCAAAATATTGCAGTGCTACGGATTGGGAGAAAATGTCAATAAATAAAAAGTACATATAAACAGCAGTTCCAGGCGGAGATTTTGTAGGCTGGCCAGCTCATAATTAGAGCTACTTCAGAACGTTATCTTTTGTTGTCACTGTTAGGTAGGGAAGACAAATTTGTATCATTCAAGGGACTTGTGAGTTTCACCTCCAGGACTTTGGTATTGAAGAAAGAGTTCCATAACTTTGATACTTTTAGAATGAAAAAAAAAATTGTCACCAATTCAACTGCAATAGAATCTGGAAATCTGTATTTTACCCTTCCATATAGTGGCTTCCAAAGGACGTTATATGGATCTCACTTCTGCTTTTCTGAAGTGTGCCTTATTCGGTAATGAAATCCATTTTTTTTTACTACCCATTCTGTGGCCATGGCTTGGTGGTGGGCATGGTGGGGCTTGGTGGGCGTGGCTTGGTGGGCATGGTAGGGGAAGGATACTGCAAAATCTCCATTCCCACCCCACTCTGGGACCAGCCAGATGTGGTATTTGCCGGTGCTCCAAACAGCTCAAAATTTCCGCTACCAGTTCTCCAGAACCTGTCAGAACATGTTGAATTTCACCCCTGGCCTTATTGGAGGAGAGGAGATATAGGACTGGGGCTGTGCAGTGCTTAGTCTCCAAGTGGTTCTTTGGCCCTTGAATGGAGCAATTTTCCACAGTGGTTTAAAACAACTGTGTCTTTTTCTCAACATCCCCAGCAACACTGGGGAGCGGACAATGTAAAAGATCTCCTGCTAATCTATAAGTAATATACAGCCATGGGGATTAAACAGCCTTCTGGGTTTTTTTTTTTTTTTTTTTTTTTTTTTTTTTTTTACATTTCTGGGTTTTTTTTTTTTTTTTTTTTTTTTTTTTTTTTTGTACAATTTCCAGTGCCAGGATCTGTTTCTACTTACAGTGAACATTCAGTGTGACAGAGGCATTCGAATTACCTATCTCATTGTGGACCACACAATGATAGGTATCAGAATTCTCGGGTTGAATTGCCTCAAGTCGCAGTTCCGATCCAGTCGTGATAATACCAGATGTGCTGCTTTTGTACCATTTATAACCACCGATGGGAGGGTTGCCGGTGGCTGAACATCTCAAAACCACATTGTTCTTTTCTTGGATGGGTGATGGTGGCATTATAATATTGACTTTTGGCGGATCTGGGGATTTAAAACAAAATTGATTTCAGGTTTTTTGTAAGGCAGATGTTTGGCAATTTCTTTCTCCTGAAGGGGCAAGGGAATAAATCAATTTCATGTGGACAAGAAGATGATAACAAAGCTGAATACTGTAATTGAGCCTGCAATTTTTGTTGTGTCATTGTATCTCTCTGTGTGTGTATGTGTGTGTGTGTGTGTGTGTATCTCCCTCTCCCTCTCCCCCCCCCCTCCCTGATTTTATGATCTTTTTTGAGATGGTCATTAAACAAACACCATGGTTGTTAAGCAAAACCATTGTTTAGCATTTTTTTTGCCAAAAACCAGGAAAGTTGGTTTCTGGAAAAATAGCAATAGCAATAGCACTTAGACTTATATATCACTTCACAATGCTTCACAGCCCTCTCTAAGCTGCTTGTAAAGTCAGCATATTGCCCCCAACAATCTGGGTTCTCATTTTATCGACCTCAGAAGGATGGAAGGCTGAATCAAGCTTGAGCCAGTCCGGATCAAACTGCTGGCTGTGGGCACTGAAAAATTGGGTTTGGTTTATCTATAGATGGGTTTATCTACAAGTATATAAGGTAATACTTTTTTAAACTACCCATATATTCTGTACCTACTTAAATTCAAGCCCATCTGTGGATAAGATGACCCTCACATTTTTAACCAAAGTACCATGAAAAATGGATAATCCATGGATTGTCCACAGATAAACCACTTGTGAAAATTAAAACATGCAAACATTTCTAGGGTTACTAGCTTACTGAATCTGTAGGTGACATATTTTTCATGGGAATTTTAGTTAAAACTTCAAAGATTGTCTTATTGGCAGATGAGTGTACATGACCTTCCCTTTGGAAGATGAAAATATCTTCAGAAGAACTGGACAGTGAAGAGGCCTTAAGAGAGAATTGGTGCTCAGGGGCAATTAATTAATCAACTCACACTGGACGTCGATTGTCAGACTTCCAGAGTTGATACTTCCAATGTCGTTTTTAGCTTTACAGCTGTAACTGCCAGAATCTGTTTCTTTTAAACTATAAAACTCTCTTCTGGCATCCGGTAGCCAATCGTTCCAAATTTTACCATCCTTAAACCACTGATAAGAAAGCCCAGGTGGATTACTGCTTCTAACTGTACATTCCAGAGTGAGCTTGTTTCCCTCTTTGACTGCACCTCCAGGATCAGCATTCACTTTAACTCCTTTGGGAGCATCTAAAAACAAACAAGATTCAGAATTAAAATAAAACAAAGCAAAAATGCTTGAGAAAAATGATTGACACAATTAAGATCAAATGTTCCGGAATTCAAATTACAGTCTTCAGAATTATAGTTACCTCAGAGACACAATTCATTTCAATCTCATAAGAGATTCCCAGAGTCAAGGATGAGTCGGCATTAAATAATTTTTTTAAATAATACTTTTTACTCAGCAAAAAATGCCTAACCTTGTTCCCCTTTTAGTCCGTGGAATGTTTGTAGCCTTGTGCCTAATTTGGAATATTGTCTCTCACAGAAGGATGAAATTATTATATGAAGCATTACAATATCGAGCCATGCAATTTAGGCTTCTCAAGAGCCATTAGTTTGGTATAAACAACATACTTAATTTAGATATTGTATTAAACCAGTTTTCCTGGATTCATGCAGCAAGCTAGACCTAAACATACATTTGATCATCAGAGCAGGTCTCTCTCCTGCCCAAACTATAACTAACTGAGATTAAAACCAAACAAACTAGCTTGGTTGTTTTCTGAATGCAGTTCCTAGATCAGGGCTGTCAAATTCGCAGCCCGCAGCCCAGATGTGTCACGCACTGGCCACGCCTGGTTTAGCGAAAGGGGGGAAAAGTCACGATACATCATATGACGCTGCCGTGACGCCACGAGTTTGACACTCCTGTCCTATATTGTTACATAATTGGTTGTGACGTGTATGTACACAGCCACTGTATGGAATCTATAACCCTTTCCCTGAAATTTCTAGAAAACAGAGATGGAAATTTTTGAAGGTCATGATTGCAAAAGGTCTTCATTTTACACATGGAGGTTCTTCTGTACAACAAAGCAAACAACTCAAATTGTCCATCCTTCATTATTCATATTAGACAAAGTATTCTTTCCATATGTCACCATTGCCATGGACGTCCTCAGGTTGTGGTCCACATAGGATGCATTTAAAAATAGACAAAGCTTTGATCAACCCAATTGTGTCCACCATCTTGTAGATTTGGCCATATCCTAGGTATACCCCTGACCCCTGCATCAGCTTTTATCCCATTAAACTAGACACAAGAACAGTTTTTTCCCGAACGCCATCACTCTGCTAAACAAATAATTCCCTCAACACTGTCAAACTAGTTACTAAGTCTGCATTACTATTAATCTTCTCATCGTTCCTATCACCCATCTCCCCCCACTTATGACTGTATGACTGTAACCTTGTTGCTGGTATCTTAAGATTCATACTGACTGTTTCCTAATATGTTTTGATTGCTTATTTGTTCCCGATGACTATCATTAAGTGTTGTACCTTATGATTCTTAACGAATGTATCTTGTCTTTTGTGTACACTGAGACCATATGCACCAAGACAAATTTCTTTTGTGTCCAATCACACTTGGACAATAAAGAATTCTATTCTATTCTTAAAAAAAAACAACACTCACATTTCACCATCAGATTTGCAAACTGTTTCGTTGTTTCTCTCCCATCATAGGTTTTTAGCAAGCATGTCAATTGTTTCTCATGGTCCTCCCAAGTGGCCATGAAAGTCTGTTCAGTCTTTACTATTTCGATGTTAGTGGTCAGAAGATCAGATTTTGGGGACGGAAGATGACGACCTTCTAATCCTTGGATAGACAATTTTATGGGCTCATCTAAGCAATGATAAGGTATTGAACATGCCACTATATACGTGTTGTTTTCTTCCATTTGTGGGGACTTCGTTTGAATCAGTTCTGAAGGGGTTCCTGCAATCAGATAATTGAAGGAAGGAAATATTTTACACAGATGTTGAATAAAGTTGAATTGCTTTTTAATGAAAGCCATTTCATTAAATGAAAATTTATTCATTTAGAAATCTATCACGTTCAAACCAGTATTTTATCATATACTCACAGACTGAACTCTGGAGTGGAGAAAGGAAAGCAAAAAAAAAAAAAACCCTTTTACATTTAATGTACCGTATTTTTCGGACTATAAGATGCACTGGAGTATAAGACGCACGTACCTTTTTGGGGGAGGAAAACAAGAAAACAAATCTGCCTTTGCCCATTTGCTGTGGCCCATTCGCCGTGGCCTGTTGCAGGGGTGGGTTCTACTTACCTTTACTACCGGTTCGCAATAGGGCTGCGCACGCATGCGCAGAAGCATTTTAATGACGTCAGGCTCAGTGGGCAGAGCCTCCCTCTGGTTTTACTACCGGTTCTATAGAACCAGTGCGAACTGGGGGCAACCCACCACTGGCCTGTTCACCTTGGCTCATTCACCGCTGCCCATTTGCTGTAGCCTGTTCGCTGTCGCTGTGGCCTGTTTGGCGCAGCCAGTGCTCATTCGCTGCTGCCACCCATTCAGCATGGCCCATTCACCGCCGCCGATCCCCACTGCCTGGAACCAGCCGAAAATGCAACACGTGGAGGCCAGAAATGCGATGCATGGAGGCCGAAAACAGCCAAAGGTTGTGGGCCAGTGGGTGGGTGTATAAGACGCACCGCAATATTCACCCACTTTTAGGGGGAGAAAAAATGTGTCTTATACTCCAAAAAGTACAATATATTTAATATACCCCCTCCCCCACTACCATATTAAAAATTATAATTGAGAAGCAATATCTAAAGGGTTTTTGGATTCTGCATCCAAAGTATTTTGGGGAAGGACACAGTGGCAATAAGGCTCAGGTTGAGCACTCCTGATTGGAAAGAGGGAAGGGCAAAGGACCCAATATATTATAACTATGCTTCAGTCGAGCAGACTCACAGGTAAAGAGGAAGATAAGTTTCTGGACAATCTTTCATCCCCATTTGAGAAAATATGACCAATCTATTGAATACATCCTTCTGATGAATTAGGAAAATAGAGTATGTGAAACACCCATAGATGGAAAGCACCATTTTCTTGTTGCAGCCTTTGAAAGCTATGTCCTAATTAATAGCCTGGAATCATCTATAGACTGCAAGTGGCAAGTTCAAAGTTTGTTAGTGATGTTTTGAAAAGGAAGGTTTTGTACTGATAGAGATAGGAAGGGAGATAGAAGAGAGACAGAGAAAGAGAGAGAGAGAGAGAGATCTCAGAAAAACTTACCACGAACCGTAATAGTAACTTTAGATAGCCATTTCTGTTGCTTAGGCAATAGTCCAGATTTCCAATAAAATCTGATCCCATAAGTGCCTGTATCACTTCGGCGGAGCTGGGAAATTTTCAAACTGCAGTTTTCGCTTTTTAAATCACCCACAAATTTCACTCGATTACTACGTTCAGAAAGGACTTCAGTTGCTGTCTGGTTGCTCTTATATAAGAGTTCTCCACTGAACTCACGTCGGTCATTGTCAAATGAAGGGTTAAAATACCAAGCAAAGGACACCTGGTTGATAGGTCGACCACTATGCTCCTCTTTGATTTTGCATGAAATGGTCACACAAGATCCCTCCCAAATACTTAGGTTTTCGGGTGTCACAGATAATGGATTGCCTAGAGAACCTGAAAAGAGAATCAAATAATGATATTTGGTTAAGATCCATCTCCTTACCTCTCAAAACAAAATGGACTGAGAGAGCAACAAGTCAGTAGTGTTTTCGTACTTCCACGGTGAAAACCCTCCATCCCATTCCAGATTTTACTCACGGTTTGGAAGTGGATAAAAAGTGACACTATCATAAAGAAATGCAATGATCGAGCCATCACTTGGATCCTCCAAGGAGGTCTTTCCATTTCCATCCTTGTCACTGCTCCTTCATCACAAAGTTGAAAAGAGTTTCCAAAAAGCTGTTGATAGGCTCAGAGGGAGTTGCATTACAAAGAGGGAAAAATGCAGCAATCCCAAAGCACACCAATTTAGAAGAATAGAATAGAATAGAATAGAATAGAATAGAATAGAATAGAATAGAATAGAATAGAATAGAATAGAACAGAACAGAACAGAACAGAACAGAACAGAACAGAACAGAACAGAACAGAACAGAACAGAACAGAATAGAATAGAATAGAATAGAATAGAATAGAATAGAATAGAATCCAAATGTGATTGGGCACACAAGGAATTTGTCTCCAGTGCATAAGCTCTCAGTGTACACACAAAGAACAAAGTGATACATCATAGATCAATGATGGCTAACCTTTTTGCCATCACATGTCAAAAGCGAGGGAAGCGGGGGGGTCACGCACACGCGTGCCCACACCCATAATTCAATGCCCCCACCTCCTGCACCCCACGCATGCGCACACGACCCTCCTCATGCTCCCCCTCTTTTGGCATGGGGTGGCACAAAGGTTACAAGTGGGCCCGGTATGCCCATTTTTCGCCCTCCCCAGGCTCCAAAGGCTTGCCCACCCACCCCCCAGAAGCCCTCTGGAGGCTGGAAACGGCCCATTTCCTGACTTCCGGTGGGCCCGGCAGACTTGTTTTTCACCCTCCCCAGGCTCCAGAGGCTTTTTTGGGGCCTTGGAAGGGCAAAAATGGCTCCCCACCCCACCGGAGGCCCTCCAGAGGCCAAAAACACCCTCCCAGGGCTCCCGCACGAGCCCTGTACTTACTGATTCCTGGGAAGGGAGGGGCAGCATGAGCAGGGCGAGCCAAAAATCAGCTTGCTAGCACGTGTGCTGGAGCTGAGCTAGGGCAACGGCTCATGTGCCCACAGATATGGCTCCGGTGGCACACGTGCCATAGGTTCACCATAACAGTCATAGGTCATAAGATACAACAACAATTGACAAATCATAATATACCAATAGGAGAAGATAGTAGGAAAGATGAGAGGTGTGAAAGACGAGAAGATGACAAGGATAATCACAATACAGCCTACTACATGGATAAATACCTTTGAGCAGAAGACAGTGCTGCTTGAAAGAGATATCAAAATCTCTCCCCCCTCATTCCCTGCATAAAACCCAAACTGTTCTGGCTTTCCTTGACCAGTTGATGGAAACCTATCTTCCATTATACAACAGGAGATCAGCCTACTTTAAAAAATGAAGGTCTTACCACCAGCTTCCAGTATCAGCAGCCTACAGCAACTATCACATTCTTCCTAAAGGTACAGTACAGTCAGCTGTATTTCTATGTAGATCTTACTTAACCACTGTTGTATGCAATGACCATTCAGTTAGTACTTTGCAACTAATCCTCACATGTATAACCGTTGCAGTATCCCTCAGTCATGTGGTCACCATTGGCACACTGTATTTTTCAACCAGGACACATTTACAACTGTGTTATTTAGTGACCAAGTTGCCAGTCTCAATTGTGGTCACTAAGTGAGACTACCTGTACATAAGCTTTAAAGCAAGGATGCACCAGACTGTAGAATTTGACTTCAAAAAAATCTGTCAACAATTAGCTTTTGAATTGGCTTTATATTATCAGTCAGGTCGGTCAATCAATGGTAATTCAGAAAATAATGGAATGCGCAGAAATGGACAGATTAATGCTTATCATTAAGGACAGAGAAGATACTGAATATTTTCTGACGTGGGAGGTATTTTATCAATGGCTAGAGAATAAAAACAGAAGTTAGGAAGGAGATATAAGAAAAGAAAATATTACTACGGAGAGAAGTTTATGACGATGTTATGTACTATTGTAAATTATCTTGATAAATAGTTATATTATCAATGTCATTGTAACAAATACAACAACAAATACAGTATGCGAACTATAAATATTTAAAAGAATTGTACCCAGTTCACACACTGTTCGATAGAGATGAAAAGTATTATAAATAAAATGAATAAAACATGGAAAAAATATAATTCTCTATAATCTGTTCAGTTTGATGTTGAAAAATTTACTCTTATAATTGTATAAATATGACTTTTTTATTAGCTAAATAGTCATAGCTTATTGTATTATATTTAGGTTTTATCACTCATAATGTTTAAATGAAACTCAGTAATAATTATGATATTTTAAAAAGTGAACTGTAAGTATGAATAAATTAATGAATGAGCCACGGTGGCACAGTAGTTAGAGTGCAGTACTGCAGGCTACTTCTGCTGACTGCCGGCTGCCTGCAATTTGGCAGTTCGAATCTCACCAGGCTCATGGTTGACTCAGCCTTCCAGCCTTCCGAGGTGGGTAAAATGAGGACCCAAATTGTTTTGGACAATAGGCTGACTCTGTAAACTGCTTAGAGAGGGCTGTAAAGCACTGTAAAGCGGTATATAAGTCTAAATGCTATTGCTATGGCTATGAATAAACTCTTGGATTTACTTCAATTATCTCCCTCAGACCCAGATTACAAAATATTATTTTTTTTTGTTTGATCTGAGGTTGTTCCTATTTATTTAACTTTTACTATTTTTAACAGGTTTACTTGCCGCCACCGTCACCCCTCTTAGAAAAGAAAAGCCAGCCTTGCCATGACATTAGTCATGTAATGTAACAAAAAGCACATTTTGTGGTTGTTTTGACAGTTATGCAAACTTAAAACCAATGTGGGAGATTTTCAGGGGAAGCTACTGTTTGCAAAAGCATGGGATATATCAATAACATTCTCAAGGAGATTGTTTTTGTCTACACTTCCGTTAGAAAGATTTTGAAAATTATTAAATTTCTCTCTATGGTCCAGAAGTTACCTGAACTTCATTGACTGTTTATTTAGATAGCAAAAGAAAAAAAAAACTCTCAACAATCTAAAATTCTATAATTAAATTATGAAAATATCACAGAATACCCCTATGGAACAAATTGAACTTATTTTTTTTTCTGCCAGTAAAGCATCTAAATGCAGCAGAATAAGTCCAGAAAGTTGAAATCTACACTGACTTTCCTAGTCATAGAAGAAGCTGAATTTAAAAGACGAAGGAGTAGTGGTGACATCGTCTTCCAATATTTGAGGGGCTGCCCCAAAGAAGAGGGGGGGTCAAGCTATTCTCCAAAGCACCTGAGGGCAGGGCAAGAAGCAATGCGTGGAAACTAATCAAGGAGAGAAGCAACCTAGAACTAAGGAGAAATTTCCTGACAGTGAGAACAATTCATCAGTGGAACAACTTGCCTCCAGAAGTTGTGAATGATCCAACGCTGGAAGTTTTTAAGATGTTAGATAACCATTTGTCTGAAATGTTATAGGGTTGCCTGCTTGAGCAGAGGGTTGGACTAGAAGATTTCCAAGTTCCCTTCCAACTCTACTATTCTGTTCTTTTAAAAAAAAAAACACATAGGAACAAAATCTTTTGCAAAGAATATCTTACAGCGAACTCATAAAGCAGAAATGGAAAGTGCAACCGGTAAATATACTGAATGTTGTATCACAAGGTAAGAAGTGATATCTTCATTTCTACCCATCCATTTTGGCATTCCAAGGAATTTCAGTTCTGAACCTTGGATGATCCCTATTATTACATCTCTAAAGCCCTAAGGATAGAACAAACTATTTTTGGCAGCCTTCACAAAAAAACTTTCTGTTGTTACAATCTAATGTAATTCAGATTCCCTATTGTCCCTTGACAGAATATACTGACCCTCCCCCCTACACACACACACACACACACACACACACACACACTTGTTCTACACACATTTACAACAGTTACCTGAAAGGAAGAGCAGCCATAAGAAACACCTCATTGTAAGTTTAAGCCTAGGGAAAGAGAGCAGAGTTCAGATTGCAGGTACCACTAACTCATACGAAAGGTCATTAATAAAGTTGACAACACCAGATTATTATTTTTTTTAAAAAAAATGGGTGTTTATGGAAATATGCCAATTAGGAATGGTTTTTCACTCCATGGGTGATTCTGTTATAGTTTGATTTCCAGTTTCTTAGCTGTTTCTTTTTTGGGAACTATTTCCAAGCAATCCCCTTAATCAAAAGTCGAAGTGATATTTGTGTCTATCAGGCTGAATATTTTTTCATGCCACTAAAAGTTAGAAAATATAACAGGCAAGCCCATTCCACCGATCGCTACTTGCCTTGTAGATCATACTGGATCTTGCAAGATTGAGGTTCTGGAAGGTGACTGACTTGATCCTGAAGAATCCCGCTCCTCGTTGTCTCAATAGGGCAGTCTGAGACAAGAGAGCACAGCAATCCTTTCTCTGCGATGGTCAAAAAGCTTGTGTCTCCAAGCTCCACACACATCTGCCACTGTTATTTCCTTCTTGCCACCCTCGAGTGACACAAGATCTGCATGCATCCGCTAAGGTCAAGCTTGGTTTCATTTTGGTAGCAGTCTAAGAGCTCTTACTCGCCCTGTTTAGTGGTTGCCGGGAGCCACAGAACAAGATTCTTCATTGAGTGAAAACTATTTGTACCCCCCCAAAAAATCTTCTCTTTTATTCACTAAATGAACCTGCTAAACCTGGCAGATCGTTTGCACATCTGCATGGAAATAAGAACTGTTTCTGAACATAACTTATAGCTTATTTTTTGTGTTGAAGCAATCAGATTTTTTTTTTTTTTTTTGGTAAATGTAATATAATATAATATAATATAAAATGTAAATGTAATCTCTCTTAGTGTCAGAGATTGGGACAGCTAAGGATATCTGGCTGTCCCCGTTGGCTGCCACATGAAATGATGAGTTCTCCTAGAGGTCTTCAAAGAAAAGCTGGAAGGCCATCTCTCTGAGATGCTTGACCATTGACAGAGTGCTAGTTTCAGTGACTTTCAAATGACTTTCAGTTTTAGGATTCTATTACATTTACCAAAAAAAAAAAAATCTGATTGCTTCAACACAAAAAATAAACTATAAGTGATGTTCAGAAACAGTTCTTATTTCTATGCAGATGTGCAAATGATCTACCAGGTGTAGCAGGTTCATTTAGTGAATAAAAAAGAAGCTTCGGGGGTGGGTGGGGTACAGATAGTTTTCTTTCATTTAATTTCACCCACTTCCCGTATCTATTTTAGGCAGAAAATACCAGTAAGACTGAAGCTGCAAAATAGCACAATTCGAAAATTCTGAATTGATGCTTGATCATTTGAATTAGCTGCATGATTAATATCACTTCAGAAAATTATTGTTTGACAACTGCAGTTTAACAATGAAAATTTTCTGGATTGAGTTGAATTTTCAAATAGCTTAACCTGTTTGTGACAAACAATGACCAAGCTGGGGAAAAGCTATGACTAAATCCGAGTTCCCCAAAGTGTTCACTATTAACCCCCAGATTAGATTGTAATTATAATCAGTGTCAGAGTTCCAAGTAACACCCCCAACGAAATCAAACTCCGAGGCTTGAAGTTCCTCAAAGCTAACTTTTATGAGGGATGTCATATTGGCACATTTGGGAAAACCCGAATCTGAAAGCTTCCGGGTTTTCCTCACACAAAAGAAAGTTCAAGATCTTGCCCACATCTCCCACATGTACACACAGCTCCAATCAGTTCTTTCCCTAACAGAAGACATCCTCCAATTTCCTCTTTGCACAGCTGCTGGACACCATGGCCTTGAACTTCTCTTAGAGAAGTTTGTTATGGCTATCTCTACTTCACTCATGCAATCCCCACTCCCAACTTCCCATGGTATGATTGTGGCAGGCCTGGATCCTCAAGGCACAAAGGTAATATGGCTTCCAGGCATGACAATCAGATTATACCGTGCTTCCCCGAAAATAGGACTTACCCCAAAAGTAGGCCCTATCACGTCATTTGCGCATGGGCTGAATATAAGCCCTACCACCACCACCCCAGAATAAGACCTAATTAAGCGCCTGCACAGTTGCCGGCCGCCATTTCCTTTAGTTGCTTGCAGTGATGTGACACGAGGTGAGGAGATGAGGGGGAGAAGGGGAGAACTGCCAAACACACCTCCGCGAAACAGCTGATCTGCGACCACTTTAGGAGTAATTGTCTGTTGCAAAAGAAGTTTGGAAATCATTTCTGTATCTCTTAACTTTTTCTTGCACTTTTTTGTTGTTCTTTTCTTTTTTCTTCTATTATTATTATTATTATTATTATTATTATTATTATTATTATTATTATTTACTTTATTCATTAAACATGAAACTCAGTCAACTGAAAATAGGGTTGCCAGGTGTCCACTATTTGAGCGGACAGTCCGCTTTTTTCACATTATGTTCACTATTTTTTTTTCAAATAGTGGACATTTTTTTTATTCAAAAGCTTTATGATGAAATGGTACGTAAGTTTTGCGAGTCCGAATTCCATGAAGTTTTGCGCCATGTTCCAACACGTTGGTTAAGTTTGTTTAAAGCGCTCGAAAGACTTTCTTTTTTGTAAGAAAATATGTAATTTAATTGTAATTTTTTTTTTTTTTTACTACTTAACCCCCCACCCCCCACCCGCTTGTCCGCTATTTTTTGGAAGCAGACCTGGCAACCCTAACTGATGCTAATGGTTGATACGGGTTGCTGCCAGCATCCTAGGTATCAACCAAGTACCTTCTTAAGATGTACGATGTTCCGAGTAGCGCAGTTTTTTGCAATTCCGCTGGTGTTATTGGCAGGAAGCTGCAATTTGTTGATGTATCTTATAAAATTCATGGACATGGTACCAAATGCCTTTCCTGTTCTTATTAGTTTTTAGCAATATAAGGAGCACACCGACACTGATTCTAAGAATGTCCTTTTTTATTTAAAAAAAAAATTATAGTTTTCTTTCTTTAAAAACATGTTCAAGTAACAGTTAAAATGAAGTAAAGTAAAATAAATCCAAATTCACAAGAAAATAGCATGAATTCTCTTTCTTTTCCTCTCTTCTCCATTTCACTTCTTCCAGGTCTTCCAATGGGACCCATTCATTCTCCATGTCAGAGTCTTTTTCCATTCTTCTGTTCCTCAAAGGTTAATGCTTTGAAGCTTCAAGTATAAGGGAAAGAAAGAAGTAAATAAATACTATCTTGTGAGTCATTAAGATAGTGCCAGTTAGATTTTACAACCTCAAAGAGGAACAGATTATGAGTTACTATTACAAGATAGTAGTAGTAACTTGTAACAAGTAGAGCCTTGGTAGTACAGTGGTCTAAAGCACCCTGTTATTAAGACCAGCTGCCTGCAATTACTGCAGGTTCGAATCTCGCCAGGCTCAAGGTTGACTCAGCCTTCCATCCTTTATAAGGTAGGTAGAAAAACACCAGAAAAGAGTCTAGATTATGAGGAGAGTGCATATTTTAGGAGGAAATGCATGCAAACTCATTGCAACTGTTCATTTTTTCCAGAAGGAGAATGCAAAAAGTATGTTTGTTTTTATTTATTTATTTATTTATTTATTTATTTATTTAATTAATTAATTAATTTTTTATACCGCCCTTCTCCCAAGGGACTCAGAGCGGCGCACAGCCACAATAAAATACGTAAATCCATAAAATTTAAAAACAATTTAAAACATATTAAATAATTTTGGCCCCTATATTAAAACTAAAACACCCATTAAAATTCGTTATTAAGCCAGCCCAGCCTGTTGAAACGGTAAAGTCTTAAGGGCACGGCGAAAGGTACAAAGAGAGATGGAACAGATTAATGACTGAAGATGTCTCAAGCATAGCAACTAGAGGTATGAACAACGACTACTCACAAACTACATGCAGTGTAAAAGCCGGGGACCGTGATCTCCCCACCCTGTTTTCGGCTTCACAGTGATAAATGCCCGAATGGTTGGGATCTGTTTTGAAGATGCTCAGGACATGGGCTGTAAAATCCAGCAGTTCTTCATTTCTATACCATTTGAAAGTCAGATCCATGGGCTTTGCTGTTTCCACTTCACATTTCAGATCAACCTTGGCAAATTCATGGACGCGCCCCTCTGGCTGTTGCAGAATTTTCACCTCCTTGGGAGCAGCTGGAAGACAGAATAAAGTTTCACATGGAGATGACTTGCCCCTTCCATATCACCATCTGGGACCGAGCACAGGAAAAGGATGCCACCTTATAACCCATGTTAATTCTACTGCAGAAAAGTCCGATTGTACAAAATAGCAACAGCAATAGCACTTAAGACTTATATACCGCTTCATAGAGTTTTACAGCCCTCTCTCTCTACAGCGGTTTACAGAGTCAGCGTATTGCCCACAACAATCTGGGTCCTCATTTTACCGACTTTGGATGGATGGAAGCAGTGGTGGGTTTCAAAATTTTTTACTACCGGTTCTGTGGGTGTGGCTTGATGGGCGTGGCAAGGGAAGGATACTGTAAAATCTCCATTCCCACCCCATTCCAGGGGAAGGTTATTGCAAAATCCCCATTTCCTCCTGATCAGCTGGGTCTTGGGAGGCAGAGAATAGATGGGGGTGGAGCCAGTCAGAATTTTTACTACCGGTTCTCCAAACTACTCAAAATTTCCGCTACCAGTTCTCCAGAACTGGCCAGAACCTGCTGAACCCACCTCTGGATGGAAGGCTGAGTCAAACTTGAGTCCCGTCAGAATCAAACTCCTGGAGTGAGCAGTGAGTTCGCCTGCAGTACTGCATTCTAACCACTGTGCCACCACGGCTCTTAGGAATTCAAATTGTTATAATATAATACAGTAAAATGACATCTTATGTCAATGACCCTTAAAAGAGACTCTGGAAAATCCATGAGAGTGAGTCCGGGGGGGGGGGGGGGCATCCCTTCTGTTCCATAGGAGGCCATTTCCATAGGAAGGAATCCCCACAGATCAGTATTTCTGAACCATGGCCACTTGAAGATTATTAAGAGCCCTGGTGGCACAGCAGACTAAAGCACTGTTATTATGCGCTGTTATTAACATCAGCTGCCTGCAATTACTGCAAGTTCAAATCTCACCAGGCTCAAGGTTGACTCAGCCTTCCATCCTTTCTAAGGTAGGTAAAATGAGGACCCAGACTGTGGGGGAAATAAACTGACTTTATATAAAATATACAAAAGTATGAAGGCTATTTCTTAACGCATTGTAAGCCGCCCTGAGTCTCCGGAGACGGACGGCATATAAATCAAACCAAAAAAAAAAAAATTAATCTCAACTCCCAGAACTCAAGTTTATGCATCTTCAAGCTGTCAAGTTTGAAAACACTGCTTTCAGGCCATCACCCATCACATCTCCTGACCTTAAGTATACATTCGCTAACTGATTTACCTCTCCTCCCTACAAAATCCCATGCCTTCTGGAGAGCATTATTGTATTTCCTTTCTTTGGTGATTCAAGTTTTCAAAGTCATTAGTGTTACTCACACAAGACCTCCACTGTGACTACTGCAGATGCAGTGCAGCCAATCCTGTTGCATACTTCACATTCATAAGAAGTGTTGTAAGGTCCAGATGTTGCAGGGTAGGTCATTAAATTTGGACCACTATATTTATATTCAATCGTAGAGGGATCTGACTTAAACCAGTTGTACCAATTATCGCTGGGCTTACTACTGCCAAAAAAGCAGCTCATCGCGATGGTATCTCCATCCTTAATGGGCAGATCATTTAAAATAACAAGCTGGACATCCTTGGGAGCATCTGGAAAATCAAATCAATTTCATTTCATTTCATTTCATTTCATTTGTATACTACCCTACTCCCGAAGGACTCAGGGCGGTGAACAGGCACAGGATAAAACACATAGAATACAAAAATTAAGAGCAGAAGTAAAATCGAATTAAATCAATTTAGCCCAAGACAAATTTAAAACCCCAGGTTAAGAACAAATTAAAATTTACATTAAAATTTACATTAAAAAAGAATGGGAAAGGTTAGGCCAGACCAGCCTGGTGAAATAAAAAGGTCTTATTCAATCAATACATTTCTCGGTAGAGGAAATAGACATGAGTATATTATAATATTAAGGAATGTGTATGTATAGACCCATATGCATTGCCTGGCAAAAATGAACTAGTTGAAACAATCCCTGATTAAATCCACATATTTAAAAATATCTGGAATCTTAACTCCCAAAATTTCCCAGCAGACTTGTTGGAGTTGAAGATCAGCTGAGTTGCTAAGATTGAGAAACTTTTTTCTAATTCTTCCCTTTAATCTACATTGCTTTCTTCACTGTAGCTGCTATGGTCTACATCCATCAAAAGAATGCCCCAATGTAAAGTACACATACGATGAGATTACGGTACGGGAAAAGAGAACCACATTGAGATTATGGAAAAAGAGAACCATGTTGAGGTTATGGGAAAAAAGAGCTATGTTTAAATTGTGTATTTAAACCCTCTCACTTTCCATGCTATTTCTCCTTTTTGGAAGGAACTAAATTGCAACAGAACATCCAGCATAGCATATGCATGGGCTCTTTTACAAATACACAGAGATATCAACACCATTGAGCTTCACAATATTCATTCATGGAACTCCATAGCTTTCAGGTTTCATGCAAGCTCACCAGTGGTGGGTATCTACTGGTTTGCCCCAGTTTGGGCAAACCGGTAGTGGCAGTGGTGGGATATGACTACATTAGTTTCAGAACTAACCATGCTATGTTTGGAGGCAGTGGTGAAATCCATTTTTTTTTTACTACCGGTTGGTGGGCATGGTGTGGCTTGGTGGGCATGGCAGGAGAAGGATACTGCAAAATCCCCATTCCCACCCCACTCCAGGGGAAGGACACTACAAAATCCCCATTCCCTCCCCACTCCTGGGGGAAGGATATTGCAAAAACTCCATTCCCACCCCACTCTGGGGCCAGCCAGAGGTGGTATTTGCCGGTTCTCCTAACTGCTCAAAACTTCCGCTACCGGTTCTCCAGAACTTGTCAGAACCTGCTGGATTTCACCCCTGCTTGAAGGCCTTCTGTTCATTTGCTGGGTGGATTCCTAAACTTCTAGTCCCAAATCCTATCCTGACGGCAGCATCATTCAAAAGGGCAATTTCCTTCTCCACTGTACACTTACATCTCACGTCCAACTTCATAGTGCTTTGAGATAACACTTCTGCCCCTGACTTGAACAAACAGCTCAGCATTTTCCCATTGTCCTCCCACGTTGGTTCAAAGCTCAGGGCAGTCTGAATCACTCCATTTCCAACTGTCCTTTTTTGCGGTGGAAAGTGCTCCTCTTCTAAACCATTGAGAGTCAAGTTTACTAGCTTATGAGGGCAGCGGTAAGGTACTGAACATATCACTTGGGTTAGCTTTTTCTCTTGGGTCTTTACAGGAACAGTTTCCAGGGTGGGCTCTGGAGGTAACTCTGCAAATGAGAAAGCAAAATCAATAGCACACTTTTAGACTAAGCACAAAAGATGCTGAGATTAGAATCAGAAGAAGAGATTATAAAGGAGGAGGCTATAAAACTCCTCTCCAAGTCATGAAACCGTTATTACCAAGGAAAAAATCTCCAATATTTCAGATTTGGAAAAACCTCTCAATGGTAACAGCTATTCAACAATGGTACTTATCAATAGCATGATGGGTGGTCCTTTCCTGTATCTGTTCAAACAGAGCAGTGTTTCTCAACCTTGGCAACTTTAAGACTTGTGGACTTCAACTCCCAGAATTCCCAAGCAAGTCACACCAAAACAGAAGCTGGAAAAAAAATGACCTGTTGGGGAAGTTCTAAGGAGCAGGAAATTGGATTCTGTAAATCATAAACTTGTTGGGTGGAAAAGACCAGAGGGATGATCTGGTCTAATTTATTAACTCAATAAAACCATCCGTGAGAGGTGGCTAAGCAGTCTTTTCCTAAAAACTAACAGCCCTTTCAGTTATGAGGTTTTGTTCAATATCCTTAACTCAGGCCTCTTAAAAACTCAGCGGTTTATTTGTGTAGCTTAGCTAGCTATTTTTTTGCCGGCTTGTGATATAGTAAAGGCTGGGATGCCATGACCTTCTTGTCTCTGATAAGGAAACCTCTTTTAATTGTTAGTTGTATTAATTATTGTCCCTGGGGTTATATGTAGCTTGTATAGTATTATTGATTTGTTTTCTTTTTTTTATTGTATTGTTTTTAAACCAATTTATGGGGGTTGGGATATATATTGCACACAGTTGTTGATGACTGGAGCAGTCCATAAGCCTAGCAAAATCAATAAAAATAAATTGTTCAAACCCAGGAAACAAACGAATTCAACAATCAATTTACATGCGGTTACCAAACCAAGCTGTTTATTTTGTTTGCTACATGGTTAGTGAATTAATTCTTTTTCTGGGTTTGCACATTAGATTGACTTATCAGTGGACAAAACAACCGGGGTTTTTGCCATTTGCTAGAAGGAGGAGGAGGAGGAGGAGGAGGAGGAGGAGGAAGAGGAAGAGGAAGGAGAAGGAGAAGGAAGAAGAAGAAGAAGAAGAAGAAGAAGAAGAAGAAGAAGAAGAAGGAGAAGGAGAAGGAGAAGGAGAAGGAGAAGGAGAAGGAGAAGGAGAAGGAGAGGGAGAGGGAGAGGGAGAGGGAGAGGGAGAGGGAGAGGGAGAGGGAGAAGGAGAAGGAGAAGGAGAAGGAGAAGGAGAAGGAGAAGGAGAAGGAAGGAGAGGAAGAGGGAGAGGGAGAGGGAGAGGGAGAGGGAGAGGGAGAGGGAGAAGGAGAAGGAAAGAGAAGGAAAAGGAGAAGGAGAAGGAGAAGGAGAAGAAGAAGAAGAAGAAGAAGCAGCTGCTTCTTGGATGAGATGCGAAACGTCTTCAGTGAAAAATCAGAAAGTCCAGTTGTCTCTTGAAAAAGCACCTTTGGGACAACCATGACCTGGATGACTGAGAATCTCCATAGTCATTTAGCTATGCACTTTGGGATGAACCCCCTATGATTCTGTGATAAATTGAAATCTGTTTCTGTTATCCTTCCTGTGATCTGAAGCTTTGAAGGTGATCCAAAATGTAGACAAAAGAGAGGGGAGATTTTTATTTTTTAAAGCCAACGAGGTATAGAAAGTCTGATGGGAACCAAGATATATAAAAACTTAGCGAACACACATCATCTGTCCTTAATCTTGCATTAATTTGTATACTAGAAGCTATCAATTACCAAAGATGCTTCTTGCAGGAAAAACACACACCAACATAAAAAAAAACCCAGAGCTTTCTATCAGGTGAGATTCAAACTGAACATTTCTTACCTGTGACATTCAGTGTAGCAGTAAGGAACCGCTTGAATTGCCATGGGTGCTTGTCAACTGAAACAGTCACCTTTACTTCATACGTTCCACTGTCAAGTGTTCGCACTGGACTGATCAGCAAGCTGCAATCTCTATTGGTTAAATTCCCAATGAGCCATGTCCGGCTCGGTAAAGCATTATCAGATACAGTTGTAATGGTTCCAGAGGTTTGAGAACTGTTGTACAACAGGATAGTTTTCCCCTCGCTCCAGATATTGTTTCCAAAAGGCTTAAAATACCACACTATGCCTGTGGCGTTGACTGTTCCAGAACTGGGCATTTGATTGATGTGGCATGGAATCACCACGCAGGATTTTTCCCAAGCAAACAAAGAATTAGGAACTATGCTTATTGGATTTTCATCGCAATGGAAACCTGCAATAGAGAAATCATTATGGTTTACCACAGGGGTGAAATCCAGCAGGTTCTGACAGGCTCTGGAGAACCAGTAGCGGAAATTTTGAGGAGTTCGGAGAACCGGCAAATACCACCTCTGGCTGGCCCCAGAGTAGGGTGGGAGTGGAGATTTTTCAGTATCCTTCCCCTGGAGTGTGGTGGGAATGGAGATTTTGCAGTATCCTTCCCCTGCCACACCCACCAAGCCACGCCCACCAAGCCATGCCTACCAAGCCACGCCCACAGAACCGGTAGTAAAAAAAATTGGATTTCACCACTGGTTTACAAATATTTATGTAGCCCGTCTAAATGTTGTACGTTAAGAATAGGCAACTTTTGAAAACATGGTGTGTCCTAATTTTTTTTTTAATCAGATTTTTAGTATCCTTGGCCAAAATTCATAAGATGTTAGGTGAAATATCTCATAGAGAATATCTGTGTCGAAGCTAGGAATCAGAAACAACTTCATGGTATAATTAAGGTTTCTCATGCCAGACACAGTCCAATGGTGTTCTATGCTTATTGTTTATGACAGAACCAATGTTAATATTTTCTCACGGTACGGAGTACTACAATGGACTGGTTCTCTCTTTGCGTGGCTTTCTCTGCCTTTAAAAAGCACAAACTGAAAAGGGTTTTCAAATCATGACATGTATATATCTGAAAATACAAGCATTGTCAACTTGCGAAGCATTCCTGACCTGCTCTCAAGTTCCCATAGGCAGAGGGATGGGGAATCAAGCCTCGCAGCTGCATCAAGGAATTTATACATCAGTCAAAACAAAGCACATTCCAGCTGGCAATTGTCAAGGCCATCTCCAAGAAGACCCACAGTGGCCAAAGGGAGTGACTTCTACAGCCTGCGAAATTGCTTTGTTGGGGAATGTGACACACCTTGGGGGATGGGGAAAACAGGGTCAGACCCAAGGTGCGAATTAAGTGAGGTCAAAGTTGGCTTCACTTGGTTCGTGCAAACATGGCGCTCCTAATAAATAACTGGATTTCTTCTGAAGCTTGGCTTAAGGCTCATGATTTAATTAGGGCGTCAATCGGAACCCCGAAAGCAAGCCAACTCTGACCTCACTTAATTCGTGCCTTGGCTCTGACCCTGTTTCCCCCCTCCCCCCAAGGTGTGTTATCAGTCACATTTCCAAACGAAGCAATTTTGCAGGCTGTAGAAGTTACTCCCTTCAGCCACTGTGGGTCTCCTTGGAGTTGGCCTTCACAATCGCTGGCTGGAATGTGCTTTGTTTTGACTGATGTTCAAGTTCCTTGATGCAGCTGCGAGGCTTGATTCCCCATCCCCCTGCCTATGGGAACTCGAGAGCAGGTCAGGAATGCTTCATGAGTTGACAAGCCTTTCATTGGTGTAAATGTAACTTCCATTCAAAAGCTGCCAATTGTTAATCAACACGTTATGATTCCTATCTTAATGGCCAAGAAAGGGAAACTTTACCTCCAATTCCCACTAAAGCTACACAAACATCCATCACTAGAGATTAGTAACAGGAACTAGGTTTGATCATACATCCATTGTCATATGGTCTCATGCTTTTACTCACAGATAACATGAAGTGTGATTTTTGGAGAAAGTGCCTTGCCCACACTGTTACCGGCTTCACACCAGTAGCTGCCAGTTTGTGCTGGATCTATGTTTGTAAGGTTCAAGTATGCATGGGGAGAATCCAATAAAATCATTTCCCCATCTTTATACCACGTATAAAAGAGATTTGTGGGGTTTGCTTCACCCACTTCGCAATGCAGCACAACATTCATGCCTTCATCAATCTGGCCTCCTGGATTTTTCCGAATGTTGACTTCCCTGGGAGCAACTGCAACAAGATAAAACAAAGGCATAAGATTAACATCACCAACTGCAAAAGCATTTGCTTTCGCTTGGGTTTCATGCACTGGAACTAAGGATGCGTTAGAGCAGGGGTCAGCAACCTGCGGCTCTGGAGCTGCATATGGCTCTTTCACCCCTCTGCTGTGCCTCCTTGTCATTCAAAATATGCGTCACAACCAGCAATGTGCAACCCCTGCTGGCACGCAATTTATTGAGCTTTTCAACCCCCGGTAGGCCAACCATGGATAAATCCAAGAAAAGTTTCAGAAGAAAAACAGAATGTTTAATTCAACTACATATGCTAGTTTTGTGGCTGCTCAAGAAATAGTCAGGCACGGGAAGGGTTTTGTGGCTCCCGGTGTTTTCTTTTCTGTGGGAAATGGGTCCAAATGGCTCTTTGAGTGTTTAAGGTTGCAGACCCCTGGGTTAGAGCTAACTCATCTTGGCTTGTAAAACCAACTGTTAAATTTTCTGAATTTTGCAAGCCAGGTAAGAACAGAACTGAGCCAGGATACCTAGTACGCTGATCAGCTATGTAGTGTCTGACAACATGGTGCAGTGGTAGCAATGGAGATGACAGAACTGATTGTTAAACATTGACCAGCATATTATTGGCTATAACTGTAGGTAAAAATGGTTCCACATAGGGATATGCAAATCCTCTGTAAGTAACAATAAGATGGTGAAGTTCTAAGATGATTAGGACTGGGGTTGAAATACATGGCAAGTGAGAGCCAAAGTGATTAAGACTCTGGGATAGAAACCAGAAGAACGTGAGTAGGCAGGAAGCCCGGTAGGTGACCTTAACCGAATAACAGAGTTGGAAGGGACCTTGGAGGTCTTCTAGTCCAAACCCCTGCTCAGGCAGGAAACCCTACACCACTTCGAACAAATGGTTATCCAACCTCTTCTTAAAAACTTCCAGTATTGGAGCATTCACAACTTCTGGAGGCAAGTTGTTTCACTGATTAATTATTCTAACTGTCGGGAAATTTCTCCTTAGTTCTAAGTTGCGTCTCTCCTTGATTAGTTTCCATGTATTGCTTCTTGTCCTGCCCTCAGGTGCTTTGGAGAAGAGCTTGACTCCCTCTTCTTTGTGGCAGCCCGGAGATATTGGAACATTGCTATCATATCACCCCTAGTCCTTCTTTTCATCAGACTAGACATATCCAGTTCCAGCAACCATTCTTTGTATGTTTTAGCCTCCAATTCCCCTAATCATCTTTCGGCCAGTTTGGGCCAGTTACTCTCTCTTAGCCCTAGGATGAAGGTAATGGCAAGACACTTCTGAAATTTTGTTAAGAAAAATGCAAGGAGTAGTCCAGGTAGAGACCAGGAGTCAACAATAACTCAAAAGCACACATACACACAGAGAGAGTACAGGTGCCAGGTGAGTCTCTCCAGGCTTTATTTTTGACCCATGATGTGTTTTGATTTTTCTGCTATCTAAATAGATTGAGGAAAATCCAATTGCACCTGGGTGCCACTTAACTCACACTGATTGAGTGGTACCTACAATCTCCCTCTTCTAGCAGCTTCATCTCCTGAACATGCTGTATTTGCCAGTAATTGATGTTTCAGGGCTTTCTGCTGATTAAGTAATTGGCAATACTCACAGAAGATATCCACAGTGAGCAGCGGAGATGAAGTGCAGCCATAAGTATTGCATGCTTCACATTTGTATGATGTCACTGGTCCAAAATGTGCAGGGAAGGTCAACAGCTTTAAACTGCTGTATTTAAAATTAGCTACATGGAGATCAATCTTCCACCAGTTGAACCAGATGGTACTAGAGGTACTACCACCCACAGAGCAGTTCAAAGTGACAATATCTCCTTCTTTTATGAGTGGATCATTCACAATGAAAACCTGGACATCATTGGGACAATCTGGAAAAAATAAAGCCAACAGGTCAAAGTGAGGAGCTTTGTATAGAAAACAAAACAGGGATAATATTTCAGAAGATAATGTATATTCTCAAAAATGCAGTCATTTTGTAATTTTTTTTAATGTCCCTGAAAGAAGCCATGTCAAATGGTATATCTCAGCTGCTTTTTTAAAAAATACTTCCACGGCCATATTCATAACCAGGAATCAAGCTTTGGACTATAAAACAAGGAAGATAAACAAAAAATCTAGACAAATATTGCGGAAATCCTTCTTCACAATGATAGAAGAACTGAGTATTCAAAGATATTGGAGACAAAAACATTTGAAAGAAAAACAATTCACTTTTTATTCAAATAGACATTTATCGTGGTCAAGGATAGATATGATATGGACGTCAACAGAATTTATAGATAATATACAAGAAGTAAATATTGGTTCAAACATTTGGGCGGATCATAATCCAGTGACAATAATATGGAAAGGACAAAAGAGAAAGACAGGATGGACTTTGAATGCAACAATACTAAATGAAAAGGACTTCCAATGGTTTATGGACTTGTCTATTCTTGTCAGAAAAACCCATCCAAGGTCCTTCATTTCTTCCCAGCTTCACACTCACTTTTCATGTCTAGCTCCTGGATGATGGATGATTTCTGTGACATGTCCTTGTTGCTCAATTGGCAGGTTATTGTTTTCTTCCGAGGTTTCGCAGTTGGTTGAATGGTGACTGTCTTCCGCAGTACTCCATCATCCATCATCATAGTTTCTGAAGTCAGGTAATGCTTCTCTAGGCCTTTGAAATTCATTGTTATTGGATCTTCTGGGCAATGGGAAGGCACAGAACAAACCACTTGCAGGGCCCACCTTTCTTGGCATTTCAAGATTTCCAATTTGGGACTTGGAAACAAATCTGTATCCAGAAAATAAAAAAGGGATACAAATAGGAAGAAAAACTGTGGCCTGATAAATAAGAATTCAGAAAGGGACACAACATGCTAAATGGCGTGTGTATTAATGCAACAGGATAATGTAATCAGGTTGAAAGGGTTGGAAAGACTAAAAGCCTTGGTAGTACAGTGGTCTAAGGCACCCTGTTATTAAGCTGGTTATTAAGACCAGCTGCCTGCAATTACTGCAGGTTCGAATCTCACCAAGGCTCAAGGTTGACTCAGCCTTCCATCCTTTCTAAGGTAGGTAAATTGAGGACCCAGTTTGTGGGGGCAATAAGCTGACTTTGTATAAATATACAAAAGGATGAAGGCTATTGCTGAGCACATTGTAAGCCGCCCTGAGTCTCCGGAGAAGGGCAGCATATAAATCAAATTAAAAAAAAAAAAGCCAGTGAAACAACGTATTTTAGGATTTGCTTGACTTTATGGACTTCAAGTGTTCTTAGACAAGAAGAAATTTCTTGAACATCAGCAACTCGACTCTCCATAAGTCACATCCTTCTGCCAGTCTGCAGCAAGATGTAGACCGGGTGTCAGCAACCTGCGACTCTGGAGCCACATGCGGCTCTTTGGGCCCTCTTCTATGGCTCCCTTTTCGGTGATCCCACCACTGGCTGTCCTGACCCCTCGCCCTCACCTCCCAGTCACTCCTCGCCTGGCCTGAGAAGGTAAGGATGACGGCGGGGGATGGAGAAGTGGCCAGGGCAGAGACAGAGAGATACAGAGAGAGGGGGGGGAGAGAGGGAGAGGGGGAAGGGAGGGAGGGAGAGAGAAAGAGATCTCAAAAGGGTTTTGTGGTTCCCGGTGTTTTTTAACAACCATTTCTCTGTCCTAATGACCAGCTAGGTAGGCGTGGCTAGGGAGTCATGTGACTGGTGGAAGTGAGTGGTGTCAAGTTGGCCACGCCCACCCAGGTTTTGTGGCTCCCGGTGTTTTCTTTTCTGTGGGAAACAGGTCCAAATGGCTCTTTGAGTGTTTAAGGTTGCAGACCCCTGATGTAGACCAACGCGTTTCTATTCTATGAGTAGCCCTCTAGGTCCTTTCTCTGCTTGATGATAGCAATTCAACATCATCTCTGAATGGAAAACCCTCAATGGAGACCTTGCAAGCAAGACTTCAAGATGTTGGAGATTATATCCAAATTAAGGAGCAATACCTCTCCAGGTCAGAGAAGAAATGAAAAGCATTCTTCAAAGTTCTTACCAGAAACTTTCAGTGTAGCTGAAGTATGAAGTATCTGTGGATTACTTTGATTTTCCACAGATGCAGTGACTTTTATCACATATGTGCCATTGTCTTTTTTCTGGAGCTGAGTAATCATCAAGCTGCAATTTCCTTTGGTTAAATCCCCAACAAACCTCACTCGCCCCTCAAAACCAATAGTTGGTAGGTTTGCATCCTCGTTTGGGATTCTGGAATTATTGTATAAGACGCTGCCAACATAGTCAAATAAAGTCATATTCAAAATAGGCTGAAAATACCAAACCACAGAAGTGGCAACAATTTTCTTAGAATTTATTCTTTCCTCAATTTGACACGGGATTAAGACACAGGATCCTGTCCAGGCCACCAAGGAATTGGGATTGATCCTCAGCGGGGATTCATAACACCAAAAGCCTACAATGGAGGAGAAATCATGATCAACGTTTTGGTATTGATGCAGAAAACGAATACATGCTATATACACCCAGGCAAGGCCTCAATTAAATCCAAGTGTTAAAAAATGCCTGAAAGATCAATCCTGGGATCTTTTTTTTTTTTATTATTGAAAAAGTTTTCAAATACAAATTTTTTCCCCTTTTTTCCTTCCCCCCTCCTCCCTAACCCCCTCTCGCCACCCATCCCCCCGTGACTTCTTCACACCAAAAACCTAATTCATAACAGATTACATAATATTTTAACATCGCCTTACTCCCTCCTCTATATACTGACCCTTACTTACTAAAAATATTATTAATATTGTTACTTTCCCCTTTTACCATACATTTCAAAAAAAAGCAGTCTGCTATAACATTGTATGATAACTTCTAGTTTAGCATAATATTATTATAACTCCCAATTTAGCAATAATCTGCCCTTTTTGTCCTCCCCAAAACTTATATCTATATATTATTACAACATTTCAAAGCAACCTTCCACTTTAAGACTGTATAATAGATCCTACTTTAACATTTATTCTTTGTGTATATTAATATAACATTTCAAAGCAGCCTTCCCCATAAATCCTAATTTAACATTTATTCAACTCTATCCATTTCCTCCACTGCCCTAAATATATCACTTAAACATCCCTAATCCTGGGATCTTCATGAAGTTCAAAGTGAAGTGTGTTCCAGAATGCAAGCACTATGTATTGTCTAATAAGGAAGATATAATAAGTCTAATATTGTTTAATAAGAAAGATTACCCACCGGAAGATTAAGGCAGGATCTATTACCAAAGCAACAAGGGGGGAAAAGCAATAGCCAGTACCCTAATTCAGGGGTGGGCTGTTGCAGGTTCATAGGGGTTCGGTAGAACCACTAGCTAAGATTCTGTGCAGTTCAGAGAACCCCCAAATCCCACTCCTGGTTGGCGCTGCCCACCCCACACCGCCCCTCCCAGGAGTCCCTACACAACCCATTTTGGATGCAGGTTAGTGCATGACACATATATGGAGGCTCGAGGACGGTGAAAAATGGACCCGTTTCCAGCCTCCAGAGGGTCTCCGGAACCTGGGGAGGCCATTTTCACCCTCCTGGAGACTTATGGAAAGCCTCCAGAGCCCAGGGATGGCAAAAATGCCTACCCCCCACCCCCCTGCGATGATGCAGGAGGCTGACTAAGCCACACCCACCATGGCCATGCCCACCCAGCAACCGGGCAGAGAACCCCTTGCTAAAATTTTTGAAGCCTATCCCTGTCCTAATTCACATGAGTATCGATGCAAGAGTAGAAGGAGAATGCAGAGTCAGAGTTGCAAGATTCTGTTATTATAGCCAGTATTAATAGATGTAGTTTCAGCCTTCATATAGAATTGAGCAAGGTGATCATTAAGTATCCCAGTCTCAGGATGTTCAGGTTGCTTCAGATCCTGAGCAAATATGAAAAAAATATCATCTACCCAGTTGACTCCATGTAATTTGCTCTAACCTTAATTCTACCCCTATTAATCTAAATTCTAGACCCTCATAATGCTGATGGGATGAATGAGATAGATAGATAGATAGATAGATAGATAGATAGATAGATAGATAGATAGATAGATAGAAGAGAGAGAGAGAGAGAGGGAGAGAGGGAAGGAGGGAGGGGGGGAGGGAGGGAATTCTTTATTGGCCAAGTGTGATTGGACACACAAGGAATTTGTCTTTGGTGCATATGCTATCAGTGTACAATACAGTGTACAATAAAGATCTATTCTATTCTATTCTATTCTATTCTATTCTATTCTATTCTATTCTATTCTATTCTATTCTATTCTATTCTATTCTATTCTATCCTATTTATCCTATTCTATCCTATTCTAACCAAGGAATGCTTCAGGTTGCAAGGTAAGCAAACATCTTATGAGCTAAACTGGAATTCCTGATCTACAAAAATCTAGGAATCTTGCCATTTGTCTCCACTCTCGTTTCTGCAATCAAGAGAAAGAAAAAAGAAACTTTGCATGTAGACTGCATAAACAATCAGAAGCTCTATTGATCGTGGTCAATGATCAGGGATAATGAGAGTTGGAATCCAATATATCAAGGTCTAAAGTAGCGTTTTTCAACCTTGACCACCAGAATTCCCCAGCTGGCATGGCTGGCTAGGGAATCTTGGGAATCGAAGTCCACATGTTTTAATGTTACTAAGGTTGAAGAACACTGATCTACAGGCTTCCCATCTCCACTAGACAAGATAGACACAAGATTTAGAAAACTTCAGCTGCAACACAGCCTGAGAATTATTCACTAGATTGGCTATAAAACACTCTCAAATTATTTTCTACAAATCAACTATTTTACAGTATACGATAGTATTGAATACCCTGATGCTATCTAATCCATCCCATCCAACACCGTTAGTTAAAAGAAAATGCTGAGAACATATCTACAACTCAAATTCACCTTTGCCCTCCCAATCGTATTATATTATTTTTATAATTTAGTGAGACACTGGATTATCGGGAGGAAAGCAAAATAAAATAAAGGTGAACTAACTCACCAGTAAAATAGAATTTCAGATCCACTGTTCTTGTCTGGAAATGAGGATTTAGCAAATAGGACAGAAAAGCAGAGGGAAGTTCTGCCATGTGTTTACATCTGCATGTTTTTACCCAAATCAAATGTTTGTATATCTGGGGAACATTTAAGTGCGATAATGGAATAAGTCAAGGACGGTTATTGGCAACTAAATAGCTGACATTATTATCTGACCATTATATTTTCAACGGGTGGAAAAAGTTAGAAGCTTGATTTATATGGTGTTGCACACATAATACTGGATTCTGCTTCTAAAATATGTGCAATAAAAAATCATCAAGATCTTTCAGTTCTCACTGTAGCTTGGCATTTCTCCCAGGGAAAGCAGTGTTCTTGGACCCTGAACTATTCTTGCCTTTTCTGATTGGCTAGTCTCTAGATAGGAAAGGCTATGATTCCTTCTTTCAAGGTAGAGTTCTATGGATGTTTGAGACTCTGTATCACAACTGCCCAGATCAGCACGAACATAATTGGGATCCTAAAATTTCTAAAAGAACAAAGTAACCTAGTATTAGAATATTGTACCTGGAATGTCCATGTAGTTAGCAGGAGTCCAGCTCAGCTCTACTGATATCATCATCATCATCATCTTTTAATGACCCCATAATCCCTTGCGGGATGGAGTCTGGGCAACTGAACGGAGCTAGCAGAGTGTTTTAATGGCCGGATGCCCTTCTTGTCACCAATGCAGAGTTTTGTTCAGCAGATATATTCTCATTATGTCCAGAGAGAGAAATATTGATCCTCTACCTAGGATCGAACTCACAGCCTCCTGATTGTGAGGCGAGAGCTCCACCTCTAGGCCACTGCACCACTCCTCTGCTCTACTAATATGACTACAGGATATTTGAGGAAATGTCTTACCCCAATGGAATTGGCCAGCCCCACTTGTTCTTGTGGACCACATCAGCCAAGGATTTTGGCTGGTGGGATATAGAAGAGCCTTTTCTGCCATGGTCCCTGCCCTTTGGAACATCTTATTTCTGGAGATGAGATCTTTTCTCACATTTCAGGCCTTCAAGAAGAGCCTTAAAACTGCCTCTGCCAGTTGGTTTGGGCCCTTGATGGAGAACCCTGATGTCAGGGTTCCAAGTAACACTGTTGTGGCTCGCTGGCGGCCAGCAGAGCTGGCAGCAGAGTCAAACACTGAGGAGGTTGGGGAGGAACCTGGGCCAGTCCTGGGGGCTGGGGAAAGCTCAGACAAGGGCTCTGCATCAGAGGCAGAGAGGGGGCCAAGGCCATATGATAGTTATATGCAGCCTCTGGAGTCTGACAGCAGCAAGGCAGAAGGACAGCAGGAGCCTGTTTTCTGGAAGGGACCAGAGATTCTGGATTTCAGATTGCACTTGGCAAACTTATGCTGCTTGCATAAATTCTTTACCTTTATGAGCATTTGTGGTCAATACCTCTTCCACCCTAGAACATCCTTCTTCTTCTCCATGGAACAGCTCTTGCAGCCTTCATTACATTAACCCAAACTTTTTTTTTATTTAGTTAGTCAAACATGTACAAGATAACAGGTATAAGTATAAACATGGACATGAACACAGGAAATGAGTACAAATAAATGGGGACAGTAGGACAGGGATGGTAGGCACGCTGGTGCACTTATGCATGCCCCCTTTACGGATCTCTTAGGGATGGGGTGAGGTCCACGGTAGACAGTTTAAGGTTGAAACTGTGGGGATTGAGGAAGTAGCAGGTAGAACATTCCAGGCGTTGACCACTCTGTTGCTGAAGTGTTACTGATTTTCTGCAATCGAGTTTGAAGCGGTTTACCTTGAGTTTGTAGCTATTGTTTCCCGTGTATTATTGAGGTTGAAGCTGAAGTAGATGTTGACAGGTAGGACACTGTAGCAGGCAATTTTGTGTACCATGTTTAGGTCAGACCATAGGTGACGTAGTTTCAGGTTGTCCAAGCCCAAAATTTCGAGCCTGGTGGCATAAGGGATTCTGTTGTGAGCAGAGGAGTGGAGTACTCTTCTCGTGAAATACAGTACCTCTGGACCTGCTCAATTGTCTGATATACAGTGTGGATTCCAGGCAGACGAGCTGTATTCGAGAACTGGTCTGGCAAAGGTTTTGTATGCCCTACTTTGCAGTACAATGTTACCGGAGAAGAAGCTATGCAAAATTAGGTTAACAACCCTTAATGCCTTTTTGGCAATGCTGTTACACTGAGCTCTGGGGCTTAGATCATTCGAGATGAATACTCCTAAGTCCTTGACAGAGTGAGGGTCAACTACGAGGTCATATCCACCCAGCTTGTATTTTTGTTGCCAATGTGTAAGACAGAACATTTGTTAGTTGAGATTTTGAGTTGCCAATTGCGCGACCATTCTGACACATAGTCAAGGTCACTTTGTAGGGCAGCAGCATTGTTGGTGGTATTAAAT